CACTTTTTGTCAAGGACATTTAAATTTTAAGCCTTCTTTCTAATTGTTTTCTGTTACAAAGACTTCAAGAATTAATGAGCAAGTTTGAAAGATAAATTTGTAGATTGCAGGAGACCCTTTGTCTAAAGTATATACACCTAAAACCCCACTGCCCCAAATAGTGGGCTTTGTAAGATACATTATAATTTAAAGTTGTGATATGTAGGTCACATGTAGAAATTTATCAGAACTTTTTGAATATTTTCCTGTACAAATTTTCTAATTCTGTTTGAGTTTATCATTTTATCAGATTCTTCTTGATCAACCCTACCCCTAATAACCCTACTAATATAGGAAGGAAGATGGATCAAGTGTTATTTTCTCATCTTAATGTATTAAAAATAATCCTTTCTGCTTAAGGAGAAAAACACCTTTTCTCCCAGCTCAGATAATTTGGATTCAGTGCTGCCCACCTCTCACTTATCAGTGTATGACTAGCCAAGTGATACAACTTCTGAGCCTCAATTTAATGCTTTTTAAAAGAAATCTTTTTTTTTTTTTTCCTTTTTTTGGAAGGCAATCAGGGTTAAGTGACTTGCCCAGGCTTAGACAGCCATAAAGTGTCTGAGGCCAGATTTGAACTCAGGTCCCCCAGACTCCTGGGCTGAAGTTCTATCCACTGTGCCACTTAGCTGCCCCATATGTTTTGTATTATAATTATAGAGCATTCAAGTTTTTATTGTTTTTTTTTTCTGTTTACATTGTGTGGTTTTTTTCCTGATTGTTCATTCTACATCAGTTCATATGTATTGTGCTTTTCTTTCAAAGCTGTTTTCATTATTGTAGTCCTTGTATGAGTTGCTCTCCTGGTTTTGCTCGCTTAGTTTTTCATTACTTCACATGTCTTTCCAGATTTCTCTGAATCCATGACTTTCATCATTGCTTAGAATAAGGAGATTCCAGTATAATTTGTATTTTATAATTTGTTCAGTCAATCCCTAATTGATGGACACCCACTTTGTTGCCAATTTTTTTGTTAAAACAACTGCTTCTATAAATATTTTTCCTCTTTGGGTTTTATACCTTACTGGGGGTGTGTGTGTGTGTGTGTGCTCGCGCGCGTGCATGCATGCATGTAGAGTACAGTTCCAGACTGTTTTCCAGAAGGGTCGAACCAGTTCATAGCTGCACCAGCAGTGCATTACTATGCCTGTCTCCTAGCCCTCCCAACAGCTTTTTCCTGTTTGATTATCTTTATCTGTCTGCTGGGTGATTAAGGCATAAAGCTTTTTTGTCATAACCATGCTATCAGTAATATTATCCCCATTTTATAGATGAAGAAGGTGAGGTACAGAGAAGTAATTTTCCTTTGGTTATTAAGTGAGTTTCAGAGCCAGGACTCGATTAGGTATCAGTCAGTAGTTATTTATCAAGTGCCTATTAGGCCAAAGGTGTTTGGTTTTTTGTTTTGTTTTTTTTTGTTTTTGTTTTTGTTTTGGCTAGGCAATGGGGTTAAGTGACTTGCCTAGGGTCACACAGCTAGTAAGTATCAAGTGTCTGAGGCCGGATTTGAACTCGGGTCCTCCTGACGCCAAGGCCAGAGCTCTATCTACTATGCCACCTAACTGCCCCTATGCCAAAGTCTTATGTGTGTTTCTTAAACCACCTATGCCTTTCATTACTACTGGAATCTGGGTGGGAAGGTGGGGGAGTGGATGCTCATTTTCACACATCTTTTTCATTTATATAGTATGTTACAGTTATAAAGCATTTTCGTGTGTTGGCAGGGGCTGGTAATTATACTGATTTTATAGCAAGAGAAGGCAGTAAGCATTTATATTTCCAGCTCAGCCTTTACAGTCATCCTTCCCAACTGCCGTATGCAGGGTGAGCTCACGGTACCCCAGGGGAGAGGTAGGAGGCAGCACGCACCAGTTGAATTCGATTATCATCTCCCCTCAGAACCCGATAAGGGCAGAGCTGGACCCTTAACTCAAGAACATTTGGAAAGGCAGTGCTTCTAACCCATTGTCAAATGGTTCAGTGTCAGAAACTGATAAATTTTATCTGTGGAAAGGACATTAAAGAAGAGATTCCCGTCTGCTTTCCGGATACACCCTGAGTACCATGAGAATTTCCCATCTTGACTTGCAGTGTAACCTTTCATATGTGTGTCGTCTCCCATATTAGAAGAGCTCCTTTTCAAATCCGGCCTCAGACATTTGACGCTTACCAGCTGTGTGACCCTTGGCAAGTCACTTAACCCCGATTGCCTCACAAAAAAGCAAAGTAGAGCTCTTTGACAGTAGGGACTGTCTTCATTTTCTGTTTGTGTACATGCTTTGCATGTAGTAAGTGCTTAATAAGTGCTTTATTCATTTATGAAGTAATTACTGTATTCCTGGCACTGTACTAAAGTATGGAGAGGGGAAAAGAACATAAGAAAAAGACAAGAGTCCTCTTCTCTTAAGGAACTTACACCCAAGGGAGCTGACGAACACGGTTGGGGAAGTGGAGGGAGAAGATACTTTCATGGGGACAGTTGTCTGGAAAGTCAGAAGCAGAGCTGGGACAAGGGAGTGAGGGACAGCTCGCCTGGGCGCCTCCCCTCATGGAAACTCTGCACCTCACTAGGAGGGAAAGATGCTGATATGGCAGGTTGTGTTTCCAGGATCGCTCCTTCAGGAGCCCCTGAAGACCTGGGGTGAAGCTCCGCACTCTGTGCCTTAGTTATTTCACAGCCACCAGGGCTCAGCTGTGACGCGCATGTAGATGGGTACCTAGGTAGAGAGGTAGGTTGCTTAGGTAGGTAAAGGCCCTGTTGGTATTTGGGCTGTAAGCTCTTCCAGTCTGTACTTATGGTGACTATTCCATTATGATTTCCTCCATGTATTTGAAGTGTACAGTACTACCAACAAAACACAAGGGGCATTCTGGTGGTTGGATAGAATGAACTGACAGTGACTGGGTTTCCCTGAGAAAAAGTCAATTAACTTCTCAGTACTTAGACTACAAATTATAGAAAATGTACTGACTTGCCTTGGTAGAAGAGTACTTACCTAGAGAGTTTCCTATACCAGTGAGATCACAATCTCTCTCCTTACTACCAATACAAGTCTAGGAGTTAACACCATAACTTGTACCAAAAATCCTTGATATATTTTGTTGGTGCATGTGGATGAAGTGCCTGGCTTGGAAATCTGAACTCAAATCTAGCTTCAGATGTTATTGAACTCTGACCCTGAACAAGTCATTTAACACATTTGCTTTGACTTCCTCATCTGTAAAATGGGGGTGATAATGATAGCGCTTACCTCCAAAGGTTGTTGTGAAGATTAAATTAAATTATTTTTAATATTCATTTTTAAAAATTGAGTTCTAAATTCTCTCTTTAGCCCCTTTCCCTCCACTGAGAAGGCAAGCTGTATCGATTATACATGTGAAATCATATAAAACATTTCTATATTAGCCATGTTACCCCCCCCCCAAAAAAAGGCAAGAAAAAGTGAAGATTATACTTCAATTTGCACTCATTTCATCAGTTCTCTCTAGAAGTGGATTGCTTTTTTTATCATGTGTTCTTTGGAGTTTTCTTGGATCATTGTCTTGATTAGAGTAGCTGCTTTTCATAGTTGATCGTTCTACGGTATTGCTGTTATTGTTTACAACGTTCTCTTGATTCTGTTTACTTCACTTTGTATCAGTTTGTATAAGTCTTCCCAGGTTTTCTAAAAATATTCCCCTCATTATAAAATAATACTTGTAAAAGCACTTGACACAGTGTCTGGCAAATAGTAAGAGCTATTTAAATTTTAGTTGTTACTGGTACTATTTTATATAACCTTCATTTCCCAGTCCCTTTTCTTCCTAGAAAACCATCCATGCTATGACAGAGGATGAAGAAAAAATAAATCATCAAAAATAACCAACATATCAATCAAATCCACTGATTTGTGTCCCACTCTCAAAATCTTATCACCTCTGCAAAGAAAGGAGGGAGAGGCCTTCTTACTCCACTCTTTTCCGGGGCCAGCTTAGTGTAATTTCACATCAGTCTTAGTGTTTTGTTGTTCTTTATGTTCACATTGATTTAGTCACACATTTTTCCTTGCTCTGCATCAGTTCAGTCTTCCTATGCCTCCTCATGTTCTTCATATTTCTTACATCAGTGCCATATTTTGCCACATTTATGTACCACAGTGTGTTTAGCTCTTCAACTGAAGGGCATCTACTTTGTTTCTAGTTCTTTGCCCCCCAAAAAAGGGTTAACTGTTTATTAGTTACATAATTAGTTATGTACATAATCATTCTTTCAATCCTCTGACTTTTTGCCTAGTAGCAGGGGATGTCCAGATAGATCAAAGGGTGCATAATAACTTTCAGACCATTCCTAACATTTTCCATATACTTTTTAATGGCTGTTAAATGTATCAGAATTTAATATCTAGAAAGTGATTACTTGTGTAACTGCTTTCGGTACAGCTTTCAATACAAACTGTAAATTAACTGTAAATGGTATGTGAGAGATGAACAGTTCCTTTCTGGGATCTCAGTTTAGGAATGTAAGACGTGGCCACATGTAAGTAGTATAGAAGTGCCAAAGGAACTAATTTTTCAGAGAAGGGAGAGATCATACCTGGATGGGTTCATCAAGGAAAGATCTAAGGAGTTTTTAAGCTGGGCCCTGAAACAAGCCATGCAGAGATTAGTGAGATAGATCCATTTTTGATGGAGCCAATGCTACGAGTAAATCATGAAGGTAGGAATACGTGAGGTGTGTTTTAAGATACAGTGAACACAACACAACAGCCCAGTTTGCCTTGAGTAGAGTGATGTTGGGAGAGGGAGAGGAGTGTTCTTTTCCAACAGTCTGGAAAGTGGGGTGCAGATTTTTAAAGGCTAAGAGTTACTTAATTGATGTTCCTTAACATTTATTTGGTTAAACTAACCACCATTAGTAGACTTAAATCTTACTCAGTTGTAGAAGCTTTAAAAATGTCATCATCTCCTTTGCTTTGTAGGCCCACAAGTCCGTGAACTTTGTTTCAACTCTGCTACAAATCACCATGTCCGAGCAGCTGGATTTACCAGTGAGACAGGCAGGCAAGTTTGCGGAGACCTTTTTCTTTTGAATGTGCAAATGTTATTTTAAATGTTCACAATTGAATTGATTTATCCAATGGCATGTCATTTAGTTGTTTTTCTGCCTATTGGACTAAGGTCCAATATCCTGGGTCATGAATGCCTATGTTATCAGGGGCCCAGTAGGAAGAACGTCACTTCAACTTAAATGTCTCAGTTTATGGCTAGAGACAATGGTCTAAAATTCCAAAAAATTAAAACATTTCCCCTTAGTAAAGATGAGCTTAAAATGTATTAATATAGTTTAGAAAGATGTGTCCAAGGAGTCTTTTCCTTTATATATGTTTTTGTTCTTGATTGCAGCCTGTGAAGGATGATTAATTTGAACATCCAAGGTTTAAGGACTAGACTGTTTACTTGTTGAAAAATATTTGGAGCTCTGAGTATAGAGTTTGCTGTTATTTTACCCATTTTTATTCTCAACTTTATTTTACAGATAAGAGCAGTTTAGAGTGGAAGAAGTATGAATTTGGTTCACAGTCTGTACATTTTCTTACAACATAAAGAATTGGAGCTTAGCCTTCTCAGCTGAGTTTTGGTGCTGCCTGTGGACTTTGTCACATTATTTATTCTTTTGCATGACTAATAAGGGTCATTTCAAATCCTAAGTAATGGAATGTAGGTCACAATTTTTGATGAAAGTAAGGATCTCCCTGGCTCTTCGGAAGATGTGACTAAATTTCAGAGACTTGAAACTACACTTGCAGCAAAATCTATTTATTTTATTTTATTATGAATCTATTTATGTCAGAAAATTAGTTTTAGGTGAAGGACACGAGAACACCTTGTCTGTTCTTTTTGACAGTTTGTTAAAATGTGCATAGTACTTGAGTTGCAAATAGAAGGAAAAGTAGCAATAATTAGCTTCAGTTGTATCACTTAGAATTAGAAGAATCAGAAGATGGTTTGGGTTTTGAATCTATTTTGAAACAGGTCAGGCCCCTGCATAAACACATTAATAAATTATAAATCATAGAACTAGTACTTTTCAGTAATCAGTATCTGATTCTTTTTTGCATTTGCAATAAAGGTCTTTTTTGCATGTCTTAAGAGCACCTCTAAGTCTCTATGTTCTGCTATATCGTCATTTTCAGTTAAGTTTGGTAACTGGCTGACAGGCAACTTCAGCATTCTGACTGCTAACAAGAAGGTGTGGTCTGTAATATACAGAATAGTGAAAACTACCCTTGAATCTGTTGGTATTCTAAGTGATGTTTGAACCAAGATTATACTTGGGATTGTAAAACATTATGGTGTAAAATGCTTTCTTAATGGGTTGAGTGAAATAATCTTGATTATCTAAGCCCTATGGCATGTGAAGTGATAGTTGTTTGGTACTGTGTTGTGTTGAAAGCATTGAAGAACACCTTATTTAACAAATTACCTATAATTTAGAGCAATCTTGCAAATTGCCATTTGCCCTTGGCAAGGAGAAATAATTTATTTTTTCTAATCCAGTACCTTGAAATCTTGATCTCCTTAAGAATTATGCATTCATAGCATTTTCTTTAGGCTATATCGTCAATATAGCAGAAAGTCAATATCTGAACTGTACTTAGTCAACTTCTGACATAGTGATAATAAGGCTTTTTTGTTCTTAAAAGGATCAGAGGTAGTCTGAAAGCACTTCTTTAGTTTCTTCATTGATATATAAACAACACATAAAGGGGCTGTTCGTGTACATAACTATCCTTTTTTCCAACTGTCCTGATATCTTTCAGGTGTTATCTATTTGAAAAATATGATAACTCAGTATTGGCCTGATAGGGACACCACACCAGGGGAAATACCTCCATATACAATTCCCGAGGAAGATCGACATTGTATCCGTGAAAATATTGTAGAAGCTATTATTCACTCTCCTGAACTTATCAGGTATTTTTAAAATGTTATTCATTGTTTCAGTAATATCATATTTGCTCTGTCTTGGTCTTTAAAAAAAAAAACCTTCGCATATTTTGACATTGAAGTAGCGGAGACCCTAGAAACCAGTACAGTGATAGTTCTTTTACTATTCAGCAAATGTATCTGTTAAATCATTCTTACTAAGAAATTCTGTGTATGGTCTTGTTTTCTCATCTTTAATGTTAGGTGGTTAATAGGTTTGGCGGGGATCGTTCTAAGGAATTATTAAGGAAGTTAACAGGTATCTGTTTCCCTTCACTGCCTCCATTGGAAAGAAAAAACTGCACAGCTTTGTAAAATAGGAGGGATCAAGCCAAACAGATTCTCAGGGTGTCAGTTAATTGTTTAGTGACAACTTCTTGATTGTAAAAGTATAGAGGAAGTCTGTACTATCCTGGGATGATCCTTCTCAGACACTAAGACCTATTAAGCACCACCAGGAAACCTAGTCCCACAGGTTCCATAATAAGAACACCTTTTTATAATGATTCTTTTCCTTGTACATTCCACTTAAGGATCCTAATGCTACTCCTTACTTTTCCTTTGCACTTAATCATGTTCTAAGTGTCTCTTTCCCTCAGTATTAGCTTTGAAGGTGAGGGATTGTGGCCTTTTACATCTTTGCATGCCTCAAAGTCTTACATGTACTTTCAGACATCACAGCATCCCTATGAAATAGTTTTATAGGCGAGGAAAGGGATTCCAAGAGTAGAAGTAACTTAGGTCAGACAGCTATTCCTTGATGGCCCAAGATTGTGACTGTCTTTGGCCCTGTCTCTATTTGCTGACTCATAAAAGGAAATGAGCTTTGGGTGACTGTTTCAGTTACCCACTGGATCTGCATCCCTCAAGACTTAATCATAATTTGAAATTACATATAAGTCAGATTAATAAAATGTATAATAATTGTATAATGCACTCTTCATAGCATTTTCCCTTATTTATGTATCTTATTTGACTTTTAGGGTACAGCTTACTACATGTATTCATCACATAATCAAACATGATTACCCAAGCCGCTGGACTGCAGTTGTAGACAAAATTGGTTTTTATCTCCAGTCTGATAACAGTGCTTGCTGGCTCGGAATCCTTCTGTGCCTATATCAGCTTGTGAAAAACTATGAGTAAGTATGTCATTCTCAAGTTGTGGGTATGTACTTGGAGAAAATCTGGGAGTATCTAGATAAGAGAATTCAAAGGGGAGATTTAAGCCTTAACAGCATTTCTTAAATACATTAAGACACATACTTTTGAATTACTGAATTAGGTGTTGAATGTGATTTAGCATTTTCCATTTGTAATCCTGTAACGCATAGCTCCTGATTCTTACCCCTTCCTTAGTAACTAAACTTGAACCTAGAACCATTTTGTTTGTTGTTGGCATTACTTCTATTCCACCTTTCAAACTATGACATAATCTTTTCCTCCTATTCCTATATTATTCAGTCCACCAGACTCCTTACTGTTCCTCCGGTGACACTTATCTCCTGTGTCCCTGCCTTTGCCCTACCTCCTCAGCATCACCTCTTAGAATCCTTGATTTCCTTTAAGACTTGCTCAGCTCAGTAGCCAACTTCAGTACAAACAAGCCCCCCTCCACCCACCCCCAAGCTGCTAAGGCTGTTCCCTCCCAGTATTTTTTCTGCCTAGATTCATACATATGTCTCCCCGTAGAATGTTCACTTTTGCTTTTGTGTCTCCAGTGCCTTGCACATAATAGCAATTTAATAAATTCAATTTGTGGTGTGAAGTTCAATTCCTAAGTGTGATAAGAGGTGAAAGAAGGCAGATACCAGTGTTGGATGAAGGGCTCATATAAAAATGGCCTCCAAAGAGAGATTCTCAGTAAATTATTGATTGATTGAAAAGGGGATAATATTTGATATTTAGATAAATAATACCAATCGGCACTGCCTGGCGGGAGAAATTGATAGTTGTATAGCAATGGGATAATTATTATATGTTTGTAAAATAGTTTATTATATGTTTGTAGGATAGTGAAAAAAAGGATTTAGTGATGAGTAGAGAAGCCTCTTATATTAGGAAAATTAGGGTTCAGATTATGGAGTCCCTTAAATGGAAAGAAGAGTAGGAGTCTGAAGAGGTTCACAGTTCTTAAAAATCACCTATAGTTTAGTTTAGGTCATGAGAATCAAACTATTCAAACAATTTGTTATTCATAAATTGTGAGCTTTCATAGAACTTAGAAATTTACAAGACTTGGAGGACATGTTTTCTGCTCTGAGTTAAAGAGAGCTTTATTTTATAGGCCCAAATGTATGACACAGTTACAGCATAGCATCTTGAAAACTATGTGAAATTTTACTAAAAATATTAGTATGTGACTATTAAAGTTATCCCTTCCACGTCACAGTGGTTAGGGGTGCAGTATGCAATCCCTGAGATCTGGAAAATCCACATAAAAATTTTCAGCCCTCCCTTCATACCGAGAAGAAGTATAAATTGTTCTTTTTCTTATATGGGGTATTTACAGTACCTTATTTTAAAATTTGGGGAAAATATTTAGTCATAAGCTCTGTATCATCTGCTGACTTTCAAGAGTCATCTTCAGCTTTCAAAATGCCCTCAAAATTCCCACTTAATTTCTTCTGCTGACTTGATCGAAGCCTTAATGGGGAAAAGTTGCTAGGTGAAAGGGATAACTGCATTTAAGTAACATAATTATTTACAAGTCATCTTATTAGCATAGGATACATCTTCATTGACTAGATTGTAAACATCAGTTCAATAATTTAATCAGTTTAAGGATTTCTCCATAGCCAGAATTTGCATTCGTGTAGTATAAAAAAGCAGCATCACCCAGAAATAGAAATGGCATCATTTTATAGGGCAGAGGAAATTTCAGTCCTTCATTGTGTTATAAGTTTTATCTGGTTTAAAGACTGATAATGTAGATCTATTTGTTATGTTCCTTTAGAATGTGAACTGTGAATTATAAAAATTGTATATTGACTTGGCAAAGAACGGTATTTTTCTGAGTAGTGTTGTCTCCAGGATCAACCTTACCGAATGTAATGAGGTGTACACATTAGCTAATTCAGTCTGCATACTTAAAATAGTCTCCATGCTGTTGGTCATGGCCCCAAGTTATTCCTCTTTACCAATTACCTTGATTTCAAAAATAACTTTCTTGAGTGCTGGTTTGGTAATCTTATGTACTAATTTTAATCTGTGTTTGGTACTGCCCAGAATTGTGTGGGATTTGTTTCAAAGCAGTTATCCTTAAATTAATTTTTTGAAAGAGAAGAACATAAGTACTTCTAGTGAGATAAGCCATCTAGTAACATGTGGCAATCACCAAATTTTATTAAAGTTCTTTTTTTTCTTTGTAAAGTTGAAAGATTGTATTTTACTGATGAGAAAGGGATTACCATGGCATTTTGGTGAACAGCTCTGAGTTTATGGTCAGAAGTGTTTTGAGATCTGGCTCTGCCAGATCCCTAGTCCTCCTTGGGCAGTCCCATTCACTTCTGGAGCCAGTGGTCTCATTTGGACAATAGAGTTGATGTCTCTATGTCTAAGGGTTTCTTCTAAGTGAGAACTTGTAACACCCAAATGACGTTGAATGAAATGTCTAAAGGGTAAAAATACACCCTAAATTTTTGTTTCACAGGTCAGCTACTATTGAAATTACATATCAGCATAGATGTGTCACTGCTGTTGCCCTTGTGTTTGAAATAACTTTGATTTTCCTTAGGCGTTCTCAAGGGTGGTGTTTCTATCTCATTGTATATGAAGTGTTTGTTGTTGTTGTTGTTTTTATATATAATTGTAACTTTGAATTGTTATGAATTCTTTTTGTATTTGAACCCAAAGATACAAGAAGCCAGAGGAACGGAGTCCATTGGTAGCAGCAATGCAGCACTTCCTACCAGTTTTGAAGGATCGTTTTATTCAACTTCTTCCTGATCAGTCTGATCAATCAGTCCTTATTCAGAAACAAATATTCAAGATCTTCTATGCCCTTGTTCAGGTACTCTGGACTCATTATTTCATGTCCTTCTTAGGTGGCTTGGCCATGATTTCCCATAAATCTTCTGTAAAGGATCTGTTCTTCCTTGGGCACCTTCTCAGGACCTGTTAGTACCTTGTTCACATTTTTATTCACAGAAAGACAGTCTGCAATCACTGTAAGAGCCACTTTCCCCAGATTAAGTTATGTGACAGGGCCAGTTACCTAAAATAAATTAGAAGATATGTCTTCTAATGAAACATGAACAAAGGTTGTTCTTGAGGTTTGTTTGTGTGTAATGAGAAGAAAAGATTGAGGTTGGTAATGAATGACTTTTTTTTTTTAAAGCTAGGCAGTGGGGTTAAATGACTTGCCCAGGGTCACACAGTTAGTGTTATGTGTCTGAGGCTGGATTTGAACTCAGGTCCTCCTGAATCCAGGGCCAGAGCTCTATTCACTGCCCCACCTAGCTGCCCCATGAATGACATTTTTACTAGTAGGAAGCAGAAAATACAGAAAAAGTAAAGTATTTTGATTGGTAATTGAACATTTTTGTGCAATTTAAAGAAAAGTTGGACTTTTTTTTTTCCTTTTAAAGTATACTCTTCCACTGGAGCTGATAAATCAAGCAAATTTGACTGAATGGATAGAAATTCTAAAGACGGTTGTGAACAGGGACGTCCCTCCTGTAAGTGTGTCTGTCTGGGGCATGGGGTGGGGAGCTGTCAGCTTGGGCTTTTGTTGGGGTTTGAACGCCAAGAAACATTCCATCAGCCTTTTCCCAAAATGCTCCCTAGGAAAGTTTGGAGCTGGGTGCTGTCCATATTGCTGGCATCTCTCTGCTTCATTGTGACTGGTTGAACCCTGAGATAGTAGTTTCTTTCCTCGTTGGTCTTGAGCCAGTTTAGGGCAATTAGGGGAAAGGAAGCTGGTTGGGCTCTGATTCAGATCTGTCCCCTTTCTATTGGTGGTTTCAACTTGATTAAATATTTTAATGTTCTGAATCAGCAATTAAGAGTATTTTTGTGGTCATTAACCACACACACCAGTTTTTTCCATCCCTCCACCTCATTAGTTTGTCACCAGCCACATGTGACATGTGAGAGAAGCTGTCTTAGAACCTAAGGTGTGTCCCATAGTCCTGTGTGACTCCAGGAAGTCATGCTAGTGGTTTTTCTTGTTGTTTCTTGGCTTTCCAGTGCTTTATGTGCTTGCTGCTCAATCTAGAAGATTAGACAAGAAATGTGCTCACAATTCTCAATATCAGACAAGTAAACTAGAGGTGATACCAGTGGGCATTGGTGGACCTCTGTCTTTACCTTTGTCAGGAGGGCCTCACTCTTATCTACTCATTCTAAGGAAAGGGGCATTTTGAGGAGAACTTGTAAAGGTCTTAGATTTTCATCAGTGTAGAGAACTCCTTATGGGGCTCACTGACAAAGATTCAAACGTCTGCCATTTTTCCTCTCAGAGGATTGTCTGGAGCACTAAGAAGTTAAGTGATTGTTTAGCTAGGATGTGTCTCAAGTGGGGCTTGATCAGGGCTTCCTAACTCTGAAGCAGCCTAGCCATCCTGTCCTTTTCAAGGAAAGGGCCCACAACATATTTTAGGTGGCGTATTTCTACAGTTATTGCTGTTTTGCTCTTTTGGTTCTGATATTTGCATGCTGTGGCAATTTGGATATTTTTAAAGAAGTAAAAATTCCAAGCATTATTTAAATTATTTATTGGTTTAATCAGAATTGGTTGAATTCAACCAATTGGTTCAATTAAATTGAATGGGTTAAATTGCATATGAAACCAAATGCAATTTCCAGTTTTAAACTGATTGTTAGTAATAGTTGGAGGGATGGTGTTTCTTCTTGGATTTACCTAAAGAGTAATTTTGACTCAAGCGGTCACCACCTTGTCTGTGAAAGTTTTATAGTACAAATCACTGTGATTTGCAAAAAGTATTGGAAATTTGTTCATATTGAAGATACTATTTATCATTCCTAGCTTGTTTTATTTAAATGAAAGATTTTTACATTGGGAGATCATTTTGGTTTCTACAGCTATGGTCATGGCGTAATAGAGCTTCTACTTAATGTAATTTCTAAAAAAATTATTATAGTCAATAAAATCTCTTCTAAAAGGAAACCCTTCAAGTTGAAGAGGATGATCGGCCAGAATTACCATGGTGGAAATGCAAGAAGTGGGCTTTACATATCTTGGCAAGGCTTTTTGAAAGGTAAGCTGCTTTCTTTGTGACCAGTAATTAAAAATGTTGTGCTGTCTCTGCCCTCCCCTGCCCCCCCCCCCCCAAGCTTCCTAAGATGGAACTATTTTAAAGCATAGCAAAAGATTATTGGAGATTCTTACTTTGTTTTAGGTATGGAAGCCCTGGCAATGTTTCCAAGGAGTATAATGAATTTGCTGAAGTCTTCCTAAAAGCATTTGCTGTTGGCGTCCAGCAGGTAAAAAGCCCTTGTGTTAGGTATTAGCAGAGTTAAACTATTCTGATGCCTCCTCATGGCATGATGGTGATCCCTAGATTTGAATGCAATGCTAACCAAGCTTCTGCTCTTGTGATAATTTGCAGGCTGGAAAGGCTTTGTGTTTGGACCTTGAAATAACAGTCTATCACTCAAACACTAATCTAATAAATATAGAGAGGTTCTGTAGTAGAAGGCTAGCCACCAGGTCTGACCAGGTCAGCCCTCTCCTTTGTACCCTTCAGGGCTTTCCTGTCACCTCAGATCAAATACAAGATGCTCTGTTTAGCATTCAGAGCCTTTCACAACCCAATCCCTCTTGCCTTTCCAGTCTTCTTCCACATTACTTACTACCATGTACTTTGTGATCTAGTGACACTGGTATCCTTACTATTCTTCACACAAGACAATCCAGCTCTTGATTCTGTGCATTTTTATTGACTATTCCCATACAGAGAACTCTTTCTCCTAATTTCTGTCTCCTGTCCTCCAAGTCCTAGCTAAAATCCCACCTTCTTTAAGATGCCTGTCCTGTTTCCTCTTTAATGATAATGCCTTCCTCTGTGGATTATCCTAATTTATCCAAGATGTAGCTTGATTGTACATAGTTGTTTGCATGTTGTCACTTCCTATGTAAGTGTGAGCTCCTTCAGAGTGGGGGCTATCTTTTTGTCTTTCTTTGTATCCCTGGAACTTGGCACAGTTCCTGGCACAGAGTAGGTAATTAATGACTGCTTCTTGACTACCAGGTCATGAATTCTTTTGGCCACAGCAGTTCATAGATATCATCCACTAAAGATTTGAAGGGGTTGCGTTGGTGAAGGGAATATTCACACTATGGAAATGAAGTATAGAAATATTTTGTAGTAGGAAATTCAGCATTTTTTGTAGTTTTATTTACATTATGCTTCTTTTAGTATTCTGATTTCCTTTGCTTAATTACCCCAATCTTGTTTTTAACCTTACTTTTCTCTAATTAATGTAATCACTTAAATATTTTACTTTGTTTATGTTTTGCAAACCAGTCTTTTGTTAACACTGTAGTGAAGAAATAAAAACTTTCCAGTAGCAGCCAGATTTAAACTTTATTCATAAATTTAGGCTCTGACTAATAAATGTTGTTTTTAAATAAAAGTATCTACTAAGCCCACTCTTTCCTCCTAACTTCATTATTTTTCTTTTTTTCTTTTAAATTTTTTAATCAACAGGAATTTTTTTCTCCTTACCTCTTCTGCTCTCCCAGTTGAGGGGGAAAAGTCCTTGAAAATATGCATCCAAACAAATTCCTTCTTTGGCTGCATCAAAATATATGTCTTCCTCTGAAAGATGTCATAATTTACGATATGAGGAATATCAGTATTTTAGCGTCTGTCTTTGGGGTTGTGCTTTTATTAGTAAATACTTCTGTCTTACTTGTTATCACATGTGTTGAGCTGTTAAATTATCACTCCATAGGTATTGCTGAAGGTGCTGTATCAATACAAAGAAAAACAATATATGGCTCCTCGAGTTCTACAGCAGACACTGAACTATATCAATCAAGGAGTGTCCCATGCTGTCACATGGAAGAACCTGAAACCTCATATACAAGTAAAGATTTCTCTTTCTGAAGAATGGCAGTTGTGGTTATTAGAAATATGAGGGGGGTGCTTGTGTGTTTGTGTATGCATATAGAAATAGAAAGGATACATATGGAGAAGGAAACAACAAAATAATCTGAGTATGGTTTTTTATTTGTTCAGCAATATTATGATTTAGTTACCTAGTTCTTGTGCTATGATGGAGATGGAAAACACGAATCTGATACCTAATCTGATGCCAAGATATACATGTCTTGAGTTGGGTTATTAAATTTTAGTTTTTATCTTACGAATACATTCTTCTCACTTAAAGTGGGAGGCAGTTGGGGATGGTGGAAAGCACTGGGATTAGAGAGCCTGAATTCAAAGCCTGCCTCTGATGATTCCGACTTGTATGACATTGAGAGTCCCATTAACTTCTCTAAGCTTCACCTCATCGGTAAAATCAAAGGGTTAGACTACATGGTTCCCAAGGTGTTCTCCAGCTTTGGATCTATGACCATAAGATGGTAACCAGTTATTTAATTATAATGACAGGAAATTAAGTATAATTTAATTATAATGCTGTAGGCAAAACTTCACATCAGATTAATTTCCCACTGTAATTGGCCAATATTTCTTTAACTAATCAGCTTGCTTTTGTATAGTACAACTCAAACTTGATGAATTTGGCTTAAAATTACACAGGAAAGTAGCACTGAGTTCTTGAAATATGCAATATATGCCTGCCACCCTCATAAATTCATAAGTTGAAGAAAGGATGAGGTTAAATAATTCATTGGGCAGATAACTAATGATTCATTGAGATAAATGCATTCTTTTTGTTTTTTTTTTTTTTTTGTTAGGCAGTAGGGTTATGTGACTTGCCCAGGGTCGCATAGCTAGTAAGTGTCAAGTGGTTGGTCTAAGACCGGATTTGAACTCAGGTCCTCCTGAATCCAGGGCCAGCACTCTATCCACCGTGCCACCTAGCTGCCCCTAAATGCATTCTTTTTAATAGTATTTACATATTATAGAGAGTTTAAAGAATAGTAGCCATAGAAGTCTAAAATGGTCACTTTTAACTTTTAAATTACAGGGCATTATCCAAGATGTTATTTTTCCATTGATGTGCTATACAGATGCTGATGAGGAGCTCTGGCAAGAAGATCCTTATGAATATATACGCATGAAGTTTGGTAAGGACTTGGATGTTTTTAAAAATTGCATTCCAGCTTTAGGTCAGTAGACTTGGAGTGTCAGATTTCTGCCTTTAGGTATGCTTTATTCCATGGGTTTGTCTCTCCTTTGAGCCTATATTAATTGCATATTTTATTTTGAACAAGCATGAATACATAATTAGTCATAAAGCACTACTAAGTGAATATGCTTGTACCTAGTGCAAAATCAGCATTATTTGAGGCCAATTCTGCTATCTTCACACGGTGCTCTTCTTGCACATGCTGTAGCATAAGCAATTGGCTCTTTTCCATAGAGCTGCACAGAAAGTTCAATGTCTGCATTTTAAGCTAGATCAGACATGTGAGGTTTCAGAAGAAGAAACCCTAGAACTGGGCCTCCAGGTCAGTGATAGGGTCATATTAATGGAAGAAATAAATTTAAAAGCTCCTAGGGTGCAATGGCAACATACTCTATGGCCAGGATTTTCTCAGCCAAGTATAGAGGTCCTTAGCTGAGAGGGTGGGGTAGGAAGAAGTATAGGAAGGTTAGAGAGGGAAGAGAAAATTGGGAGTAGATTCTGTGGGGAGTGAAATGTAGCAACATTTAAAGGGAAATAAAGGACTTCCTAGATGAAGTTTGATTAAAAAGGAATTCACAATGTGCCCAGTCAGTGAGACTGTGCCTCCACCTGTGTTCTTTTCCTGTGGGTAGGAGTAAAGATGGCAGTTGTTAGGATCACCGGGACAAGACAAAGGAGCAAGGAATTGGAGATTGGAGGATAGTGTAGCATTGAAATGCCTTCACTATTGGGTTGATTTGGCAGATAAAGAACAGGGAAAATGGCCTGAGAAACTCCTGAAGGTCACATGGAGGGTGACGAGCAGTTTTTGGAGGGAGGAGGAATAATCTGATTAGGGAAATAGAAAATTTTGGGGTAATGATGAACTCATTAACTCACGGTGTGACCATGCCTCTGGAGCAGAGGTGGAGTAAAGGAGTAGTTCATAGGATTGATTGAAGGAGGTTGAGGAATTGGTACATTTTAGAGTTTGGGGGAGCATCTATGTAGTATATCTGCTCTTATGTAGGTATAGAGAGAAATGGTAAACCAGGTTCTAAATTCAGTCATATTTTATAAAAGACATTCTTCATAAATTGTGTTAAATGCTGGGAATTATTGTAATTTAAGCTGTTCTTAGCCTTACAGTACCCTTTGTCCCATAGATGTGTTTGAAGACTTCATTTCCCCCACTACTGCTGCCCAGACACTCTTGTTTACAGCCTGTAGTAAGAGAAAAGAGGTAAGTTAATTCTTTGGGACAAAATACCCATTCACTACCATTGAATGATTGTTCTAAAATATGTCCAAAGACAACTGCTTTTCAAATTAAGTACTTTAAATCTGTTCCTGACTTATATTGTTGGTTGTCTATTGGATAGGTTAACATCATGAATTCTTTAAAATTTTTTCTGGTAGAAAATAAAGTCTTAGTTTTGAGTACTCAGCATGTTGGCCTTTGTTTTTAATCTAGGTCTTGCAGAAAACAATGGGATTTTGCTATCAGATTCTTACAGAGCCAAATGCTGATCCTCGGAAAAAAGATGGTGCTCTGCATATGATCGGTTCTTTGGCTGAAATCCTGCTAAAGGTATGGAGAGCTGGGGAGTGGGGGCAGGAACATGGCAGCTGTCTTCTTTGTGTGTCTAGTCATGCTGAATGATGTCTGGAACATCCACTTGATTTTAGTTAATTGATGCATCACGGACATATACATACGCCATTGGCATTCGAGGAAAATCAGACCTTTGTAACTGGTCCTGCTTTTAATTCAAACACAGAATAGCTGTGAGCTTACCAAACAGATATAAATTCCAGAGTGAATATTTGAATTACAAAATAATTCATTAAATTGTAAATTCTTCTGTGTTTAAAATGTTTTGATTTGAGAGAACACATTTTCATAGTAGACCTCTATTTTTTGTTGGGCCCATTTTACATCTTTTCTATTATGTTCTTAGAATATGTGGAATGAGAGTTAGCAGGATACTGATAAAAAGCAGGCCATGGAACAGGAGATTGGAGTTCATGCTAGCTGTGGACTTGTTGACCCTGAGCTTCTCAGTGCTGTTACTGGCTTGAAGCCTGTCTTTTCAGATAACCTCCTTCTGTGTATGGAGTTGCACATCTAGAGTTCTTTTCACAGATGAAATCAGAAGTCTTGACCAAAAAAATTTCAAAGTTAAACACTTAAAAGAAAAACACTCTTTGGTTTGCCTTAATAAGCCCAGGTAATTGATTTTGTGGGTGTACACACACACACCTACATATATACATATACATATGTAGAATACGTTTGGGTTTCAGGCTGTGGTTGGAGGAATGAGTTATCATAGGGTAAATGTTAACCCCAAGGAGTTAGATTTTAGTACCAAATCCAGTGGATGACTAGGAAGAGCAGTATAGGCTTTTTTCTGTCATGGTGATGTACAATTTTAGTTTTAGCCTTAGATTGGCTTTTTGAAAACAAAACAACTGATTAATTAAAGAGTAATGACTTCAGCAAGAAATAATCATCATTATGTATCAACAGAAAAAGATCTACAAAGATCAGATGGAGTTCATGTTGCAAAATCACGTATTCCCTCTCTTCAGCAGTGAACTGGGCTACATGAGAGCAAGGGTAAGGGTATTTTAAATCTTGCTTTTCTTCACATGCACTTTTGGCACTTAATTATGTGTTTTCTGTTTGGGTTTTCTGTTTAATATCGATTTCCTAAATGGCTGCAGCCTCGTGTGCATAGTTTCCATCTGTGTCTGGTAGCACTGTCTGTTTGCGTTTTGCATTCAGATGCTGCTGCCCACACATAATCCTTCAGCCAGAGAGAAACTTGGGATCATAGTACTGGCCTAGTGACGTCTTTTTGGACAAACCTACCACTGGTCAGCCTCCAAACTCCCAGACATATAAAACTTGGATGTTTAATAACACTTGATTATGATATGGCCTCTTTTTTTCCCCTTTCCTATTTATTGATAGAAAAAGAATCCTTCTGTATGGTTGAAATGAGGCATTTTTACTTGTTAACCACATATTTTAAAGGCTTGCTGGGTGCTTCATTATTTCTGCGAAGTGAAGTTTAAGAGTGACCAGAACCTGCAGACAGCTTTGGAACTGACCAGACGATGTCTGATTGATGACAGAGAGATGCCTGTGAAAGTGGAAGCTGCTATTGCCCTTCAAGTTCTGATTAGCAATCAGGAGAAAGGTAAAATCTTATCAAGTAAAATGTTGAAGAAATCTCTGCAAATTTAAATTTGTGCCTTAAATAATTTTTTATTGATACCTTTAAATGTGTATTTATTGCTTTAGTTTACATCCTCTTTATTTGACCTATACCCCCCCCCCCATCCCCAGAGGGTCATTCCTTTCTAGTACCAAAGTAAAAAAAGAAAGAGAATTTTAAAATTGTGTGAAACTAAATAGCACATTCGATGACATCTGATAGTCTCAGCCCCGTTCTACTTTCACAGTGTCTCCAGAGAAGAGAAGGTGCCTTTTCTTGTGTCCTTCTTAGGGGACAAGTTTGGTCATAAGTACACCTCAGTATTTCAGGGTTTTCTGTAGTTGTCCTTATATTTATCTTGTTGAAACTACACTTCATTTATGTTTTCCTTATTTGGTTTACCTCACTCCGTTTCATTTCATTCAGTTCTTACAGATCTTACTATACTTTTCTGTGTATGTCTATGTATAGGAAATTATACATAGAGATAGAGATGGAAGTCTTTGGTGCTTCCCTCCCAGGCATTCTAAAGCTAGGGCTCGAAGCCCTGGGGCCCCGAAGCAGGCTTCCGTTTGAAGGCTGCGTGCCGCGGTGGGAACGCCAGAGAGTTTGACATCAGTGAGCTGGGCAGCCCTTCCTCAGTGCCCCATCTTTAAGATAGCACTCCAAAAGTAGTGGGTAAGTAACGGCAACTTTTCTTCTTTATCTTGCAGCCAAGGAATATATTACGCCGTTCATTAGGCCTGTAATGCAGGCTCTTCTTCATATCATAAGGGAAACAGAAAATGACGATCTGACCAACGTGATTCAGAAAATGATTTGCGAGTACAGTGAAGAGGTTACCCCTATCGCTGTTGAAATGACACAACACTTGGTAAGTCATGCATTCTTGCATGCTTTAAACGTTTGGTCCAGCTTTGGTAGAAGATGAACTTGACTCAGTGATTCCCAAGAACCTTTCCACTTGTGAATTTCTCTGATTTTATTGTATATGGTGGTTACAGTTTGGGCATTTACCTGGAGATGTAAACTGTTGCCATAGGTATTATCTGCTATAGGGTTTCCCAACCATGTGTTTATAGGAAATCATACTTTTACAACCTAAGTAAGCTCCATACTTCAGAAAAGCTACAAATTAAAAACAAACAAAAAACCAACATGCCAAGATCCTTCTCCTTTTAACAATCTCTTCCTCGTTTTCCTAACCATGGACTTGTGTTTCTAAGAGCACTGATGTCCTGATATTTGCAAGGATAGAAGGATTTGCTTGGGAGAATTTAGATATTTGCCACTGAATATCTTACTGCTTAGTGGTGTTTTGAAACAGCAGTTCTTCAAATATTCTAGGCCTAGTAGCTGTTATTTGGTGTTAGGAGAGGAAATCTTATGTTTTTCAGATAGGAAGTAACTATGAATGTCTCCAAGTTGCAATATTTCAGTTACTGATAGTGATGACCATTAGTGACTTTTCTTTGAAAATGAATTTATCCTTCTCAAAATTCCCTATTGTTGGATGAATTAAGGCTGATTTCAAAAAGGTGTTTTGTTTTAATAGCCTTCCACAATTGAAGATATTATATCATTATGGGCAACTATTTTAGAAAGGTAATGTTGGTTAAGTTAATCAGACGTATTTTGCTCTTCCAGGCCATGACATTTAACCAGGTAATCCAGACTGGGCCAGATGAAGAAGGAAGTGATGATAAAGCAGTAACAGCTATGGGAATCTTAAATACAATCGATACACTTCTTAGTGTGGTGGAAGATCATAAAGAGGTAAGAAAACTGTTGTCCATGAGCACTTCTCCAAAGGTCACCATGTTCATCTTTCATGGTTTGAGAGAAAAGAATACGGGCAATTCTTCTAACTTTTCTGGTCTTTTACTTTTCCCCATTTATTTGTCCTTTTCTGGGATTTAGTTTATTTGGTCCACGCTCCTTGAATTTATCAAGCACAGTGTCTTCCTATATATGTTCCTATATGTAGAAGTCTCTACCAGCATTTAGGGAAGGAGCTAGTCTGACAAAACATTGAGAAGGAAAATAAACCAAGTAATATTCAATAGGTATCTGGATACCCAGAATGTTAAACATGAATCAGCAGCTTATGACAATGTGGTTTGTCATGTAGGTGCTTTTGTCCTGCTGGCAGATGCAGTTAGGAATCCTTCATATTATTATACCTAATGATGTGAACAGAGGTCTTGGGGCATCTCTTAAACTTCAACATTTGCAGACATTTTCTTTTCTCATTGTCTGTTAGGATTTAAATTTTAGACTGTGAAGTGGTGTAAAACTGAGTAGATATTTTCTAGTATTTTAAATATATTTCCTAATTCTGTGCTTATACGTTTTTACAATTTTTGGTGGTGTTCATATTACATTATACTTATGTATGTCACACATTCAGTCCCCTGTTGCAAAAGGTCATTGCTTATTGGGTGCAATCTCAGGATAAAGAGAGAATCTATTTGTTTTGAAATTGTGATATTCTAGATATTTTGGAGGCAGAAACTTAGTCATCTAGTGGGTTCTGATGTTGTAATTTCATCTATCTGTTCTCTTTCAGATCACGCAGCAGCTGGAGGGCATCTGTTTGCAAGTTATTGGTACTGTTTTACAACAGCATGTTTTAGGTACGTGTAACTATATATATGCCTTTGTATGGAGTAAGAGCTCTGATATCAGATAATTCCAATTTTACGTGAACAAAGACTAACACCTTCACAATTCACTCTATTTCAGAGTTTTATGAGGAAATCTTTTCCTTAGCTCACAGTTTGACCTGTCAGCAAGTGTCTCCACAAATGTGGCAGCTTTTGCCTCTTGTATTTGAAGTCTTTCAGCAGGATGGATTCGATTACTTTACAGGTAAGAAGTCAACTTTGAAATACTCTGCCTTTCTTGCTTCTTTGTAATATCAGTTGTCCCCAGCTCAGGTTTTCTTAGATGGGGAATACTGAGAAAAAAATGTATTATCTTCACTTAGAATCAGCACCCTGGGAAACTAAAATTTCTTTGTCCATGCATGCTTTGATTCCAATACATTTAGCCTGCTGGAGAATAGTTAATCCTAAGCAGAGTAACTTGGTTCAAGTAGTACATATTGCACAGGGTTGTTTTCATGAAATATTCCATTAGCATGAAGAGTTTTTATTAAACAAATTCCTCTAAGCTAGGCTGCTCTTGTTCCAACAGGGCTTAAGACTAAACCTTTGTACAGTGAAACAAATTACATGTATAACTGATGATCTTTATTTAACACAGATATGATGCCTCTTCTCCATAATTATGTCACCGTGGACACAGATACTCTTTTATCAGACACCAAATATCTTGAAATGATATATAGCATGTGCAAAAAGGTAGGTGTCCCTAACTTAGTGATAGTTGGTACCAGTTCACACAGAATCAGCGAAACAGTGCTTTGCTCTGGTCCTCCTTCATGATGAGCTGGTGTTCTGCATCATTCACTCATGATTCTATGGGACGTGGGTGGGCAGAGGTCTCAGCCCTTTAAGCTATTTCCTTTGAACTCTTGGAGTTGAGGCACATGGGACAAGTGCTAGGAGCATAGGTGTGGCATGAAGTGTTGGAAGAAAGCTGCTTGTTTACTGTTGGGTGCCCCGCCATTTTGAACCTCAGGTTCTTTAGTCATAAACGGAGAACAATAATATCTGCAGTGCCTACCACAGGATTGTTTAGGAAAATGCCTTTAAATTTTTAAAGGAGTTCCACACCTGTAGGTATTGGATATAGGAACATCAACTTCATAGTGACTCTTTTGAGAAGGTCTTTTTTTTTTTTTTTTTTTTTTTTGTGAGGCAATCAGGGGTTAAGTGACTTGCCCAGGGTCACACAGCTAGTAAGTGTTACGTGTCTGAGGCCGGATTTGAACTCAGGTCCTCCTGACTTCAATGCCGGTGCTTTATCCACTGCACCACCTAACTGCCCCCAAAGCTGTCTCTTTTCATGGAAAGAGTAATAAATGTGTAGTGGAGATCTTAAGCTTTCCAAGCATCTTGTGTGTCATATTGTGCTAGGCTCTAAATAACATCATTTTCAATTTTCTTGTGTAAAATTAGCAGGTGGGATTAGGTGACATTTGCCAAGTCTTTGATTGATTGATTGATTGATTGGCACCAGGTATAGGCACTGTCAAAAATCATTTCCCTGTTTATAGTGCAGGAAGGAACTTTTTAAACTGATACAGATACCTTTAGTATTCTAAATAGTATCTGATAACTAAATAGTACTGTCTTTTTCTGTGAATGTATTGCTAGTCTCCTTGGTTGCCCCAAGCCTTCACTCAGGGAAAGAGCAGCCACTAGGGCTGGGGGGAGTCCATCCAACTCTGACCTCATTTTAAGAAGCTTCATTCTAGTTTTATCTTGTTCTTTGATAGGTCTTGACAGGGGTAGCAGGAGAAGATGCAGAATGTCATGCAGCCAAGTTGTTGGAAGTGATCATTCTACAATGCAAAGGGCGTGGCATTGATCAGGTGAGTAATGTTATACCAACTGCAATTGGTTTTTGAGCATATCAGGGAGGAAATACCAGGCATATATTTACATTTTTGAAAAATTTCCATGCAATCACTCCCCCATCCTTTTGTAAAGTTTGAACATTATGTCAAGTCCAAAAAATTTTTTTCCCACCAAAATTGTTCCTTGCTTGTAGCACAATACTTCTGTCATTAATAGTGTGAGTTTTGGAACTCTTAGAATGTTGCAGGTTCCCTGTTAAAGACCTTACAAGATATGTCCTTATTAGGCATTGCCTTGAATATTGATATTCTCCTTATATTAATTGGGAACTGGTAAGGTGGGTAATTATTTTCCAAGTTAAAGTATCTAGTAAAAGTTGCAGGCAGTTAGCAAGGCATTGCATATAGTAAAATTTGGTCAGAAGCGTGTTACGTGAAATTGGTTTGGATGTGGTCCTTGCTGGCATTGTGAAATACATTGCTTTTTAATGCTTTGCAGTGTATTCCCTTGTTTGTGGAAGCTGCATTGGAGAGACTGACCAGAGAGGTCAAAACGAGCGAACTCAGAACAATGTGTCTTCAGGTTGCCATTGCAGCTCTTTATTATAATCCTCATCTGCTCCTCAACACCTTAGAAAACCTTCGGTTCCCCAACAATGTTGAACCTGTCACAAATCACTTTATTACACAGTGGCTTAATGATGTTGATTGCTTCTTGGGGTAAGTGACTTAATAAGGAGAATTGCATCTCATCTAAACTTTGTGAAGACCTTTTTCCCACTAAACTTCTGTTTTTGTTTTTAGGCTTCACGATAGAAAGATGTGTGTTCTAGGCTTGTGTGCTCTTATTGACTTGGAACAAATACCGCAAGTTTTAAATCAGGTTTCGGGACAAATTCTTCCAGCTTTTATCCTTTTATTTAATGGGTTAAAAAGAGCATATGCTTGTCATGCAGAGCATGAGAATGATAGTGATGAAGATGATGAAGCTGATGATGATGAAGAAACAGGTAAGGGGATTGAAATGGTGGAGTCCCCAACTTGCACCATGTTTACCTTATAGCAGGGAAAGAGTTGGAAATCAGAAGACCCAGGCTCCACATTCGGGCTGTCACATTTTTGTGTGGTCTAGTCTGTTAAATAATGGAAAGGGCACTGACAGTCACAGGTCCGGAACCTAACTCACTTATGACCTTTGAGTCCATATCCTGACCTCACCCTAACTTGTGGATGGAAATGTTCTCCAAGGTCACTTCCATCTTTAATGGTTTGTGGTTAATCACTCTGATGGGAAGATGATGGGCTTGGACAAAAGAGTCATAAATATATTTTTAGTGAATGGTTGTATAGCTTTAGGTTTCTGAGAAAATATGGCCCATATTTGGATCAATATAATATATTTTTTTTTAAAGGAGGAAGGTCAGAATATATTTTTGAGATGAAAATTAGGCACTTGGGGATTTAAATAAGCAAATTCAGTTACAAATAACCTAGCCAATTTTTACAAAATGAAATTTACAGTAAACTCTCTCTTATCTGGCATAGTTGGGTAGACTGGAATTTGGTTGTTTTCTCATTCATCAGATAGTCAGATAGATTAGCTGGGAGTTCTTCACATGCAGGGAAAGAATCTCCTTGGGCATATAAGGAGGCACTGGAAAGCTACCCCTTGCCATAGGATCATCATGCTCATGAACTTCCATAGTACTTGTCCTGAGCAAGGCCAGAAACACTAGTTGATATTTTTGATTCATCAAGTGCCGGATAACAGAGTATTTACTAAATGCATTTCCCTTCAGGTTGGATTAGTTGTAACAACCTCTCTCAGCAACCCTCCTCTATACTAACATTCCAGCACACCTGCCATGCAAAGGTAAATCAAGTGGACCATGGGTACTACTTTCCACCTCTTAGATGCACACATGTGCTGATAGTAGTATCCTGGATGGTGATAAAAGACTTACTGGAATTTTAGAAAAGACTATTTTAATGCCTCCATAAGGGAGGGACAGTAGGGGTCCTGCTTCAATAAAATGAGGGGCTTTACCTAGAACTGAGGTTCCTTATTTTTATTTAAATAAACTGTTGGCTCATCTTTTTTGTCAGATGTAAGTAAACTCCTTTTTTTTTTTTTTTTTTTTTTTTGATGAGCTGGATCTGCCACAGCCCACAAGCCTTAGTGATGAGATGTTAGCTTTTGTTCTCCCCATCCCTTGTGTCATTATAGGAATTTCTGAAGTACAACACTGAGTTAGGTGGTAATTTAGGGGAGGAAGAACGAGTAGGTTATAGAGAAGAAGTTATTTTTTGAAATTCAAATGTTTACAGAAGGAAGGGTTTTGTTTTGGGTTTTTTTTTTTTTGTTGTTTGTTTGTTTGTTTTTTTTTGTGGTAGTTGGGGAATTTTTGGCCTGGGAATAAAAATTTCCTGCTGGCTAATTCTGCTTCTTTGTATATCGGTGCTTGGGAAAACACTGCTTCCTGACCTCTTGTTGTTAATATCTGTGTGCCTTGGGTTTGTCACTTAATTTCTGACTCCTAATTTCCTCATTCGTAAAGATGACTTTATATGAGATCCTATATAACACTCCAATGTGCTATAACTATGATCTGAATGTCAGTTTTTGGCATAGTTATTTTTAGTTTCTAGTAATACTAGATAATACACAATATCATAGTGAAAAGAGTTGAATTTGAAATTAATGGTCTTTAACTATATAGTCTTTGTGTATGGGACCTTCCTTTACACTTGTTTTTTGGTTATTTTTTTTTTTTTGCTTTAATATAAAATGAAGGAAGAATCAAGAAGGGGTGTATGCGATGATCATTCAGTTCTAATAACCTGCTTCTAAAGTCTACTAAGTTTGCTTCTGAAATGGGCTTTCAGAACGATTAATGGTGCCATGAATACTCTTCCTGGAAATTCTTGAGTTGTGGAACTAACTGTATACTTATTACTGTGAACGTGTTGTCATTTTGTAATTTAAAATGATCTTCCCAAGTTTAAAAACATTCCTGTTCTTTGACAGAAGAGCTTGGAAGTGATGAAGATGATATTGATGAGGATGGGCAAGAATATTTAGAGATCCTGGCTAAGCAGGCAGGAGAAGATGGAGACGATGAAGAGTGGGAAGAAGATGATGCAGAAGAAACTGCCCTGGAAGGCTATTCCACAATCATTGATGATGAAGAGAACCCTGTTGATGAGTATCAGATATTTAAAGCTATATTTCAGAGTAAGTAATTGCAATATGACTCAAATTGTAACTTTTTAGATTTGTGCACACTGAGCATGCTTAATACATATCCTAAAAATCCATAAGTAACTAACCTAGAATTTCTGGACCTAACTGGAAATTTGTGAATTAGTTTTAAATTTTAATTAAACTTTTGGACTGTCTAGAGTTCAACAGGTATTTAATGTTTAGATAAATTTGGGCTTAATATAAAGACCTTTACTAGCTGTATGAAAATGTAATGGGCTTCCTCAGTAAGGTGTAACGTATATCATCACTGTGGGTGTTCAAGCAGATGGAAAATTGTTCCTGTTGAGCCAAAGCAGCTGAATCATAACTATTTCACTGAAATATAAATCACCATGTTCTGTACACGATACCAGTTATGCTGAAGGCTTAGAAAATACATGCCCAAAATCAGTATGTCCTGTGGTTTAAGGGAACAGGGGCCAGCGTGGCTTTTCCTTTTAATTACTCTCTGAAATGGTCTTTTATGTATTAATTACAGGTGACCATTCTGTATAGCTATGAATACTGAAGGTTTTATTGAAATGGGTTTTTTTTTGTTTTTGGAAGAGGAATGAGAAAAGTTATATAGGAGGAGCAAAATGGAACTCTTCCATCTTGCTCTCTTGAACAGCTCAGAACTTAATATTTTGAAAGCTTCCCCAAGATGAGGGCAGTTGTGAGAATTTTTTAATCTGCTACATGTAAAGCAGTTGGTAAAACTATACAGTAGTCTAAAAGAATCATCTCTACAGTATTTCCTGGAGAACAACAAGAATGCTTCAAACACTATGACTCCAACCTCAGTGCTTCTTGAAACCTCATTTAGTATGATTATGGTGATAATTTTTTATTTCTTTATCTTTTTTTTTTTTTTTGTTAGCTATTCAAAGTCGTAATCCTGTGTGGTACCAAGCTCTGACTCATGGACTTAATGAAGAGCAAAGGAAACAGTTACAAGACATAGCAACTCTGGCAGACCAGAGACGAGCAGCCCATGGTACTCCTATAAGTTTTATTCCTTTTTTAAGTGCCCGAGATAATTTTGCATATTTTTGAAGTTGAAAACCTGCTCCAAATGTGTAATTATGTTGTTTGTTACAGACCACATGGTCAATATAATTTATCACTGTTAATAGATTTGTAATGTTAAAGTAAATGTCCTTATCATTTCATTAGACATAGTTGAATTTACTGAGTTGTACAGTCACCAAATTGCTTTCTACTCATAGCTCTAAAGGGTGCCAAGTACAATCGTATGGAAGTGAACTATTAATTTTCAGTCACAGGCATAGGAGGATTGGTAGGACCTTGGGAAAATATATTAAAATCACAATATTAACATGTAACCTGATCCTATAATGACGACAATAGTAATAATAACAAATATACAGGCAACCTTTCAAATTTTACAAAGTATTTTGTTCACAGAAACCCTATATGGTAGATAATGCTATAATTATTTTGGTTTGTGCTATTCAGAATCTTTATCAGTACCCTTCTTCCCTCTCTCTCAAGATTGCCTCTGTCTCCTGTTTTAGTGAAATAATAGAGCCTCTCTGGTGGGTGCCTTCTCTCTTACTCTTCACCTCAGCTCCTCTGTATCTTCACCTAGCTTCTTCTGCCTTTCTTCCTATCTATGAAGTAGGCATTGCATGCCCTTCTTGCCAAGTTCAACTTCTTCACTTGGCCAAATTATTATTTCCTTTTATCTTCAGTCTCTACTGATTTTTCCCACTGGCTTCAGACAAACCTTTACCTAACTCAGAGAATTCCTATACTCACCCCACCACCACCCTCTCTTTTCTCATCCCTTCCAAATATGGCTTCTGAACTCACTGACAGTCAGCTATTTCCAAGGACTCCAGTGATCTCCTTATTGTTACATTAGGCACTTTCTGTGCAGTTGTCTTTGGTCTCTGCAACTTTTAATTATTATTCTTGTTCCATTGGCTTCTATGGATCCCACCTCCATGTTCCTCCTACCTGTTTGACCTTTCCTTTGAAGTCACGTTTACTTGCTTCACCTCCTGCCCCCTCATTTTGGATGTCCTCCAAAGACCTATCCTGGATATTTTCTTCTTTATATATACTTTTTTTCCTTTAAATATTTCTTCTGCTTCCATAGATTGAAAAAGTGTATCTATGGTGAAGAATTCCATATTTGTATTTATTTCCCTATTCTCTTTCTCCTGTATTCTAGTCATTGTCTCCTCTCTATCTCCTCTTCAGTGGCCCGTAAGAAAATCAAACTCACTATCCCCAAAACATAAGAAATTTTCTTATTCTTTAACCTCTGCCCCTCCTAAGTTTGTGCTTTTTTTGTTGAAGGGCATGCCCCTCCTCTCATTCACCAAGTTTTAAACCTTACAGTCACCTTGAATCCAGCTGCCCCTTCATCCCCAATATCTAAAATTGTACTGCTTCTGCCTCCACGTCTCTTCCATCTGTAACCTTTCTGCTTACACTGCCACTATCTTAGATTTAACAGCTTTGGCTCAGTCTATTGTAATAACCTTCTCATTGTGGTTTTTGCCTTTCTTCTCTAATGTATCTTATAAAATTTATTTTGATGCTTTTTGTTTTTCAACCAACTCCTTTTTTGTTCAGCTACCCGAGATAATTACTCTATCTTACGTTTCCTTCTCCTAAATTTATTAGTCAACATCTCTCCTTTCTTGAGGCTAGGAACTGTTCCATTTTTTCCTTGTGTCCCCAGTGCAAGGCAGCTAGATTTTGCTGTAATGCACAGAGCACTGGGCCTGGAGTCAGGAAGCCTCATCTTAGTTCAAATCTGGCCTCAAACACTTTATTAGCTTTGTGACCCTGGGCAAGTCATTTCACCCTGTTTGTCTCAGTTTCCTCATCTGTAAAATGAGCTGGAGAAGGAAATGGCAAACCACTCCAGTATCTTAGCCAAGAAAACCCCAAATAAGATCAGAAAGAGTTGGACATGACTGAAAAATGTCTGAACAACAACATCCCTAGAGCATCGGCATGGCACACTGAATGATTTGAACTTTTGCATAATTGAGTTGAACTAGTTGATTATGTATTTCCTGTTTGGTTTAGGGTGGTTAATACACTGGGTGAATGCCAGCCATGATTGGGCTCAGGTTCTAGAAGGCGGTTTCCAATTATGCCTGTAGCATTTTAATAATAGTCACTTAATTGTAGGCAAGTTGTCTCACCCCTCAAGGTTTTTGGAAAGGGAGTTTTCCCACAGCAATGACATCACTGGATAGGGCCTGAAATCAGTTATTAGTTGGTAGAGACACACTGGCATATTTCTGGAAGAGAACCAAAAAAGGGGGGGGAGTTTTGGCCCATCCCATTAAGTACAGACATTGAGTACTTACTGACAGTGGACTAGGGCAGTTAATTAAGAATCCTGAGGCCATGAGATGTCATACGATGATAAACGTCCCCCATTTTTATCAGAAATTACATCATTTGTTTCTAATGAAGAAAAAACCCTTTTTTCCGTCCTTCATACCACTTGCTCTACTTGGTATTTGCTACTGTAGGCTTTTATTGGGGTTATATGCTGTATGTTCCTTTTTCATACTAAGAAAGAAAGTTTTAAGATCTTATAAAAAGTAAAAACCAGAAAATCCAAAATAGGTTTTGAAGATCATTACCAACAAGATAAAGTACATAGAATTTAGCACAACCCTTTCATTTATTTATAGATGAGGAAACTGAGTCCCAGAGATTAGGTGTACCGTGTTCAAGGTTACACAGGCTGTAAGCAAGCATTTTCAACCAAGTGGCCTGTAACCCGAGGATGGCTGGAGCCAAGCAAAGCAGACTAGAGACAGGAGAGTCAGGAATCAAACAGAAGTGAAGGAAATGGCTTGCCAGCAAGGAAGCAGATTAGACACACGAGCCGGGGCCCTGCTCCTAGTGGGAGGACCTGAGGCAGTGTGGAGAGATCTCACTACTTACACCTCTGGCTCCACAGTGAGCTGTAGCCCTGACAATGAGGGGTAACAGCAGCAATGACACAAGTTTGATTCATACTTGACCAGAAACAATTCTGGAATTTTGCTGTGGCTGACATCATCCAGAGGGTGAGCACAAAGGATTGTTCTCAGGACACAACTTGCTCGCTAGGTCTTTGTGGTGTCTCCTGATACTTATAGCATCAGTATGTGCCCAGCTTTTGTGACTCTGTTGCCCTGTCTATTATGCCAAAGTGGCTTAAAATAAATTGGTTTTGTAATAGCACCAGCATGTTATGAGCTATGAGAAATATGTTGTCAAACTGAACGTACATATACATACACAATGTACGTATGTGCGTATGGTTGTATGTATTTGACAGCCAAAAGATAATTTTACTATATTGTCTCTGTATGTAGTAATGAATGCTTTCTTTTAAAAAATGTAGCCAAAGTAAATGTTTTGTCTTCCAGAATCCAAAATGATTGAGAAACATGGAGGATACAAATTCAACGCTCCAGTTGTGCCAAGTTCATTCAATTTTGGAGGTCCAGCCCCTGGGATGAATTGAATTATCCCTTTTTTTCCTGCTACCGTGTGATTGTAGTAAAGAGCTTGTGTTCCTCCCAGTAGTGGTTCCAGAACTGGTTTGTGTTCTCTACAGCTCACTCTAAACTAATTGATCAATAGATTGGACAGAAAACCCAGGAAGTGGGACCTGATCATGCAACCTGGCACTGGAAAGTAAACCAGAGGGATATTGGTTGGGGTGGGGGGGAGGGCTGGGTGGTTTTTGTTTTGTTTGGGGGTGGGAGGGTTGTTTCCTTTATTTTTTTTTTTTGGAAGAAAAGAAGAACCTGACTTTGGAGCTTCAAATGACACACTGTGGAGATCTGCAAACAAACGAGGGGATGTCATAAGGCAGCTTTTCTTTTTCTGAGGAAAAAATAGGCATGGGCTGCAGAACTATTTAAAATGTCTCATTTACAGTACAAGCTCAAAGGTAGATGTAATTTTTACACTTATGAATATTTTGCCCAGTTCCCTTTCCCATCCCCTCCCCCATTGGGTCTTTATTCTTTTAATGTAAATAAGGTAATCTGATAGCCTTACTTAATCTTCATCATTTCCATTTATCAAAGATTGTTCCTATATAGATTATTGGACACTTATTGTAGCACTACATAACTGATACAAATCTGTAAATGAATTAGCACTTTCATATTGAAACAAGCCTGCTAGCCTATGTATAAAATAGCAAAATGTTTGCTGTTTATAAAAAGAAGGGATGTAATGGGGCGGGGGGCTGGGGTAATTTCAAGTTATTAATTTAAAAATGAACTAGCAGTTTTGTACCTGGTGACTGTGGTGCACTCACCTCTGACAGTGACTTGAATTCGGTATGTAAAAAGGGGTTAGTGATACTTCATTGCTGCTAAAAAATGGCAACACCCTCTGTGTCCTTTGTTTTTTTCTTAAGGCTCTCAATGTACAAGTGGAAATTTGGATATAAGACCTTAATGTAAAAATGAGAAAGGTTATCTTCTCTGAAGCATGTAAATTGGACCTAAGTTCTGCTCTTAAAGAGTTGATTGAAGTGTGTGGATGAACATCTATATATGCAATCTATTAAAAGAACTTAATTCGGCTGATATGGCTTGATCTGATGCGGTTTTTTTCTAATTTCTAAAACTTCTGTTATATTGACTTAGTTTTCCCCCTGCACCTGGTAATAGTGCTAAGTGCTTGATTTCCTTTTGTTTTTGCATTTAAACTACCACGTGTGTCTCTGTGCCTATCACAGTATCTCTGTCTTTTAACTCAGTCAGTAGGCACAGCTCTCTCTGGGACCACTTTTGATACCACTCCCAAAACAAGCCAGCAGCAAGATGGTGCATAGAGGTTGGTTTGCCATCCCTCAACCTATTGACACCTCTAAAAGAAATCATTAGTTTCTTATCTTGAATTGATCTTAAATATTTGTCTAGTTAGTCATTGTTGATTTGGGTTGTTTTTATATATTAAATACACACACACATATTAACATGTATCAAAGTGTTGTGTTATTGAATTTTAAGCTATTTTAATTTAAATGCTGTTGGGTCTCAAAACAGTCTAGAGAATTGATTACATCTGTAAAAATGAAACCTGCACATATTGATACTCAAAATGCAAAACTTCGGAAAGTGATCTGTCTTTGTGTATTTCTTATATGTTAATAATTAAGTCAGCTTTTTGGAACATGTGGATTTCTTAAAGGGCAGGCAGTTAAACATTTATCCCCATGCATAGGTTGTCAGAAGACATCCCTAAATCCCGTTACTTACATTGGGGCATTTGACCTTCTAGTTTTTTGCCCAGGGTAAAAGACTCAGCTAGCCACCTAAAAATCAGTATAGTTGACACTGATTTATGTGTTTTCTCTTAATGTTTAAATCAAGTGTGTCACTATGCCACAGCTTTTATTTCTTATCAATTTGTATAGTTAACCATCCTCATGTGAATCTGGTAGCATCATCCAGGTGCTTGAATCTGTCATGGACCTATAATAGTTAAAATAAAACCTGAAACAGTTATATGTTTTTGGTGTTATATGTAGGAGTGGAAATACTTGAATGGGGTTATAGAAAAGCCACCTATTGCCACCTTATTCCCATCCCTCCAAATCTCCCCCCTCAATTCCAAATATTCTATTTTTGGCTTCCTGTTTTAGACTTCATTATTAAATAAATTGATAATTTTAATTTTCACATTACTAATCTGTCATTGGAAAAGGCCGTCTCTAATAAAGGTTTATTATTTTCATGTCATAGTATTAAAGTTCTCTTTTGCTAAGGTACTATAACTTGAAGAAATAAATGGGTGGTGTTTGAAAAATTGGGAAGCAAAGACGGAGACTTACTGTTAAATTCAGGGTAGTTTTTCAACACTAAACTGAACTTAAAATACAGTGTTATCCTATTCCCAGGGATTGTTTAGGAAGTAAATAGGAAGAGACATCATTTGGCAGTTTACTAAGACTGTATTTATTGTAAAATAGTGATGACCTCTAGTATTGTACTGAGTGAGTAGACATAGTTTACTTCAAGGAAAACTTCATTCTTAAGCATAACTATCACTAGTTTATATACCTTGTATCCATATTGCCATGTTTTTAAAAAGTTTGAGCCTTGTTTCTTAAAATCTTAAACTACAAATAGGTGGAATAACAGTTTTATTGTTATTTCATTTTTTTTTAATGGATGTACTAAAAATGTAGAGGCTTGACATTTTTATCTCGGATGGTATTAAATGTTCAGGCAGAAATACTACTCATACATCCTTGGGAACAAAAGTCATCCATTTTGTAGAAATGTATATTCCTAGTACTAAATAAAAGAAATAAATTTGTTTCTCTACAGGTTATAAATAAAATGTTGGCTGCTAATCTCCACAAGTTATCAAGATGGTGGCTTCTATGCTCACCTTATGAAGATCAGAACCCTAAAGCAATGGTGGCCAACTGTAGGCCTAGACATGGCTCTTTGGAGCTTCATGTGCTGGCCACCCATTGGAGCAAGCATGAAGAAAAGGCATTGGCAATTGTGTTTAATATTGAGGGTAAAAGAAATAATCATGTTCTCAGGAAGATACGGAAAAATGAATTATGTAAACATTTCTTGGTCTGTTCATTTAATTAGTTATTAAAAGTTTGGAGAAAAAAAATCCTATGACTCTTTGTTGATAAACCTGGTGAATTCTGGCTCCTACCCTTGCTATAGAGCTTCACTTGTTGGTAAAGGAGTCTTGAGTGCCAGGTAAGCTGTCCCTCTGTGACTCACCAAAGACTGACATTCCCTAAGGCCAGTCCCACCATCATCCTTGAGGGAATTTAAATAAACCAAGATATAGTTCTTATAATGTCTCCCTTGAACTTAAAGCTTGTTGTGTCTGCCCATAATCACAAACTTTTCCATTCTGTTTCTTCCAACAAGACAGTTTTAGGTGTGATTTGAATTCTTATAAAAGTTTACTTAAACCCATGGTACAGCCCAAGGATGCCCAGTGCCTCATTCTATTGTGGAGGCATCCCTTATCCTCTGACAATACAAATTCTGAGAGGTTCCAGCAAAAGGAACTTTTCAGATCAGATTGTTGCAGTTCTCTTATCCGCAGTCCAGCCAAGATCTGAGCAGGAAATGTAGAATTTTACTAGAACAGAACAGACCCATCTTACTAACAAGTTGTCATTGAATCAATTGCTCTTTTGAAGTCTAGCCCGACTGTTAAAAATTGGGGCCAAGAAAAAGCCATTCTTGGAATAATTAAAAACAATTTTTTTTGAATGCCAGAAATTGAGAAGAAAACATTTTAGAGGCAGTGTGGTATAATCAAGTGGAAGGAACACTGGCTTTGGAATCTGGACCTGTCATAACGTCAGTGACCCCAACTTCCTTCTTCTGAAAATTGAAGGTGTTAAGATTAGATGGCCCTTTGAAATCCATGAAATCTATGATCCTAAGCAAAATGGAGTAATAAAAGATAGTGATTGAATAGAAGACATTTTTTTCTGTGGAGTGCCATTTCTATCAAGAATGGTTTGTTATAAATGAAGTGACTAGTGGCACAGTGGAAAAAGTCAGAAAGACTTAATAAACTTATTAGCTGTGTAACAGTCAATTTGATCTCTCAGCTAAGAGGTACTTAACAGAGTTATGAGATTCAAATAAGGTACTGTGCTTTGCAAACTTTGCTTACCACATGACTGCCCCATTACCCCGACCTTCCCACACAACAAAGTACAAAAAATAACACACAACTGACTCATGATGAAACATGCTATCCATCTCCAGAAAGAGAACAGATGGACTTAGAGTGCACACTGAAGCATATTTTCTACTATTTTTCTTGGAATGTGGCTAATACAGAAATTTGTCCTGTATGTGTATATATACTTATAATGGGTTTTATTTTTCTTGCCTTCTCAGTGGGCTGGGATGGAGGGGATAACTTGGAATTGAAAATAAAATTGAATTTAAAAAATTAACATATTGCCGTCAAAACAACATGCCTCATTCCACACCAATGATATTTCTGACCCTCATCTTTATTCTGAGTTGAAGGAAGTTCCTGTTCATCATCAGTCCCTTGAGGTCAGTAGTCACTACATCACCCAGAGTTCTTTCAGTTTTCAAGTTTTCTTTCCAAGTTAGCACTGTGTAAATTGTTGTATTCCTGCTTATTTCACTGCCTTGGTTCACACACATCTAATGAACACCTATTACTGCATTTCTATGCCAGCTTATTTTTTCCCAATCCACTTTTCCAACTGTCTGCCACTCCAAAAAGTGATGCTATGGCTGCTTCAATGTTTGTATGAATTTTCCCTCTGCATATGACCTAATTGGAGTAAATACCTCCTAATTGTATAGCTGGGGTTAAGGGTATAATGTTGTTTTTTTTTAATTAATAAATTTATTTTTAGTTTTCTGTCACTGTGATAAGATTTTTCTCCCCATCTCCCCCTCCCCTCACCCCAAGATGGCATATGTAAATTAAAATAGGCTCAACATACAGATTCATATTACATCAATTTTCACATTAGTCATTCTGTAAAGAATTAGAATCAATGGGAGGAACCATGAGAAAG